ATCCCAATTTACGTCCTTTTCATTATTACTGATTCCCATCCAAAATCACTATTTCACATCTTTTTTCTCCGATATTTCAAGCATGCATGCATGCACTCATCTTCTCCAGCTCGATTATCGGGCATGTTGCAGTCGATATCGCTTTACTGAAAGTAAATTCTTTCTGTTCCCGATTTCTACAAGTCGCGTGACTTATCTTGCTCACCACACGAAATGAGATTCACTTATTTCCATACTAATTAGTTCGAGCCTGACCCCACAACGCATCGTGATAGGCAAGGTGCACCATTGCAGTCGAAAATGCAACAGAGGAATTCCCACAAATGTATAAACTACACTCACACATGCATTAAATCAATTGCATAAAACCGTTACCGTGGAGGTCAGTGACGACTACGCGTTTGTCATAGCTAGCAGAGAGCAGATAGTAGTCGTTGGGAGCGAACCGCACAGAACGAATTTCACTGGAATGCGGTCGGTAGGCACTAATATACCGCACCCCACGGATGTCAAAAAGAGAGATAGTCGCGTCTTCGTGACCGCTTGCTAGCACGTTGCCACTTGCTTCCATGCTCACGGACGCGAAGGGACTACCTGAAGTCGATCAGAGAAAGCTAACAGGAAAAGCAATTATCCATTGAACGGGCATGAGTGCGCCCTCTACTGTCCAAAACGTTAATACATCACAATAGAAACCAGGGTGGTGAGCAGTAACCTCGTGATTTAGAAGTATGCCTGGTGAAATAAGTTTGCACAAGGAATGCGTATTCCCAAGTCTAGTTTGATGAGTGGTATTATCCCAGGGTGAGAGCAACACAAACACAAAGATTTGGGCCCAATAATGACCGCCAAATGAGAACCAAAGGCTATCAGCAGAACAAACCCGCAGTATCCATGGTTGTGGGGCGAAAATTCTCAATTCATGCCTACATCATCCCGATATCCTAAGCATTTGCTCAAGTGTATTTAAAATTAGCTTCCTAACATGCCGGTAAAAATCGGATGAACGTCATCGCAATGACATCAGACAATTTCACGAACACTAGAACCTGGAAACGCAGACAGTTAGTGTGCCAAACTCTGTATTATCACATTGGTTGCAGCCAGTTTGACTCAGTTGACAATTTGCGGTTGAAAACTATATTCTTGGCTGACACATTCCACCCCTTTACTACAGGTCAGCTACCTGCATACTGTCACAGGTTGGATCATTTAGAATAGATGGTTATTTACTGTGAGTGAGTACCCACGGGGACTGAGAGTACGACAGTACCACGATAGCCCAACGATCTAACGCTTTTCTCGATTTCAAAGCAGAAACTGTTTTTTTCTTTTAGACATCTCTTACAACACGAAATAATTTGCTAAAACATGCGTGAGTCATATTTTCACATAGTCAACATTAACCGGTTTTAATATACGAAACTAACCACGGATTCGCAGCAATGGAATAGCACGTGGTTTGATAGTTGCTTTCTATAGAAGGTGTTTCAATAGACTAGAATGTTTTTAAATGCAAACCCAGTTTGGGCTGTTGCTTAAATCCCCAAGCAGAATAATTGTATCTGTCAATGGTGCATGGCACTTCAATACCTTTGTTCCGAAAATAACAAAACTGATATGTTTACTTTCAGGCTGTCGGATGCGTCAGGTGTAGAGTTGAATTTCATTGACACTAGACTAGACCACTTATTTTATCTTCGCATAAACTGGAAGTGCACATTATCTGCGCAGATTGCATTGATCGCAATTTCCTTGGACAACGATTAGTCTCATTAAAGCAAAGCAACACGGAAGTTAAACCACTGCAAGCACAATAAGAATAAAATGACATAGGAAACAGTGATTTACATTATCTTGGTTGTTCCCGATAAAAACATGATTAATAATGAATTTGAGTAACAAACACATTTTAGGGGGTTTGAGCAACTTTCTTAAATTGCTCGAATGACGTTAGAAAAGTAATAGATGTTCCTGTTTTTGCCAACGAAAATCGAAATCCGATGGCAAGGGAAAATGCTTGTCAAACTAACAGGAATTATATTAACGATTATAGGGAATGTCGTGCTCATTAAATCAATACAACTACTTAAAATAAACAATCAAGAATTCGGTGGCGATTCCTGCAGAGATGTTGTCTCATTCCCGAATCACCATAATTTCAGTTCGATGTGATTGATCTTGACAAATGGGCTTCAACACATCGTACTATCAACTACATAAAATCGGCCAAAATTTCGCAAATGTTCTCACTCTCTAGGGGTCAAACTAAGATCAAATCGGTTCCTCGCAGGTGAATACATTAAACAGTAATTTCTAGTAGTAGGCTAAGACCGGGTATGACACTCCAAAGGATGACCTGTCCAATAAACATCAATGCGCAGGTATTTTATGAGTCCAAATGTCATGACCTAACAGTGCTGTGCTCGAGTCAATGGAAAAAACGCAAAAATCTGTGAAACACCAACTTCTTGTAAGGAAGTTCTTAAATTTCACAAAACATATCTATTTGGGTTTGTACGAGAATTGGGTGCTTGTGAAAGCGTATGCATGTTGCATAAATTTGGCTACTGAATCATGGATGTCCTTTGATGACACCTACACATTACTGTGGTTAATAGGGATGACTTCAGAAAATAGAACTTACCTTGGGCTCCTGAATAAGAGGGAATAATGAGCACGGGTGCCGGAGCACGTATGTCCCACAGACGAGCAGTGGAGTCCGCAGAGCCGGATACAAAAAGCGATCCTGGGGTCCACACAGAGAGCGCAAAAACTGTCCCCGAGTGACCCGAGAGGGCTCGTACGGTGGCCGCCGAGGAAGACTTTAAACGGAGACAGCCACTTGCGGATGCCGACGTCGTTGAAGCCAGGATGCTCGCCCTCTCCACGTCAACAACATAAATACGACAGTCACCAGCGCCGGCAGTAAGCAAATGACCAGGCGAGCCAGCTAAGCATGGAAGATTGTTGCTCAGGGAAGAGCCAACCTTTGGATAGGAGGTCATCTAAGGAGTGAACGATAGGCCATTATCGAGGATTATAACGACGCTTAAAGTGCTTACGACCCCGCCAACTGCAGCCCGGTCCAGAATTCGGATACAAAGTATACAAGAATTACATTTTGAAAAGAAGTAAAATGAACTCGGTGTGAGACAGAAATATGCATGAAATATGTGGTGAAATTGTATGCACTGTTATATTGAAAAAGAATGACAAAGTCGCGCATGTTTAAGCCATTCCCATTTGGGCTGAACCAACTGGTGGGTTAATGGAAGACGTGCACCCAAACATGATAGGCGTTTGTCGTTAAGACATTAAATACCTAAATTGGTTAATAGAACAAGTCGTTAAGAGGTGGTGTGGGTGTGCTACAGAATAGGCAGGTTTCATTGCAAGTGAGAGCGACTTCTTCAAAGAAACAACCAGATAGGTCGAGTGCTTGACATTAAGCCACCATGATGAAGAACGGAAGCCTGAACATTTTTATCAACACTGTCAGCTTACCATGAAAGCAACATCCCGCACAGTGCCGTCGTGATGAGTGAGCTGAATGAAGCCCTCAGTCTGCTCTGATGGTGTTCCAGTCTCAGGGTCTACGTAGAGTAGATGCACAGCAGTGTCATTGCTTCCTGTGGCGATAACGCGACCGTCTCCACTCCATGCCGTACAGTAAATGCTACCACGATGGTATTTCAAACGCTGCATCACAATTGCTGGATTTGTGGCCTCATGATCAGACCTGGTGGAAGGGGATATGGAAACGTGCTTTGACTAAAATTGGCAAATTGACGTCACTACAATGTGCAAATTGACTGACTTGAGGTAGACTACGACTGCTCAGGATGAAAATACATTTAACTTTTTAGCAAAATGTAATGTTGGAGGGATTATAGTCAAATGGGACCGACGACACGAACACTTTGACACAACCACTGAGGAGGCCCTTGTTATTGCTGAAAACAAAATCGGCCGAAACCTATGGTGGGAAAGCGCACCACGGCACTAGATTGCCACGTCGGGAATTCTGTTCAATTTGGCGAGTCTTTGTCTAAGTTAGGAGTGAAAACAAGCGGGTGGATGGGTTTGTTCGCACTGTTTTGTTGCATGGAAACGGACATGTCCAAACGACAACTGCGTTCTATTTAAGTCAAGCGATATGACGACTGATTACCAGAGGTTTTCAATTAAGCGCGGCGAGGCACACCAACTCATCCGAACAAATTGTTGCGTGCCGTGAATCGGAGTGTATAATGGTCAGACTTGAAGGACAAGCGATTGACGGCAGTCGAACTCACCGGAGAGAGGTAGTATCGGGAAAACGAAACACTCGGAGTGCTTTCGAGTTAGAGCCCACAGAATAGAATGTGCCAATGGGGTGAAAGGCAACAGATCGAATTGGTTGCGTGTCCTCGAACACGGTGACCGAAAGGTACTGGGGAGGCTGGTCTTCCGAGCGCTGCTCCTTACCCCTGTCACACGCAAGAGGACAATCGTCTTGAATGGAGGTCTCCTTTGCCATACCAGATGCAGACACGACGCGACTGCTGCACCCTAGCTTCGCCTCCTATCAAAGTAAAGTGATGCACCCCTTTGCGCCTGATACAAGTACTGCTGAAGGATGGAGGTGATTTGGAATGGCTTACCATCAACGCATATCAAACCTGCGAACCACAAAAACGCACAAACCGAGAAATTGTATTTGTAACAGTTGCGTGAGTTACAACACGATGCCAAGGACTTCAAGGAATGTTTTCATCGAAGTTCCGGTATGCGAACGAACGAGTTTACGCACATTAAGTAGCCTCCGTAAGCAGCCTTTAGTTCAACATTTCAAATGCCCATCTTAAATTTCTACTTTGAAATGACGCCTTCGTTTCCAGTTAAATCGATGGCATTCGGAAGTGTGCGTTATGGTTACGGTGACACTTCCAGTGATTACGAAATTTCAAACCAATCAATTTGCATACTGGTGCTTATGTAATATTTCTAAGTACAGCTTTTAAGTATTTAAAGATTGATTGCCTTTACCCTCATTTGCATTTTTTTATGATCTGCTCGTGGAAATTGATTACTACCTCAAGCCTTAGCTGTCGATAGCATGATCAATGCGTTGAAGTTTTGTACACTCTATCGGGTTCACACAAAATGGTAAATAGGATGTAAAACTAACTTACCGAGTGATCTGCAGACACCGACACCTGGAGATTATTTTGTCGTTTTTGGAATTCATGAAAAAGTCCGCAATTTGTGTTCACGTCTATCGTTTAATTAAGAGGAGATTGTTACATAGCCATAAACAAAAACACGACAAAATATTTTGAACTGTGCACAATACCTTAGGCACGATAGTTGGAAATCCATCTTTTCAAAGAGCGACTAACTACGGTGTGGTCGGTCAAGCCATATACTAGTGAGTGGGAAATGTTTGCACGTCGAATTTTTTTAAGCTTGTGAATTTGACTAACTGTCATAATGCAACCTTGGAATTAAGCTTAACAGAATTTACTAATTACTACTGCCAGACTAATAAAATGATACAACTATCAAGAAGAGAGGATACATAACAGCCAGATAAGCAAATTAGAACATTGTCCGCAAGTTGATTGACAATGAATGGGACCACATGGACGATCGCAAGCCAAAGGATACTGCTACTTTCTTGATGACGCACCTAACCTCTAGATGCATCAGGGAGTGGCAGTTGTTCGCATTGAGAAACACACTAGTCAACTATATCGGCCCGTTTGTTTGGAATGAGCTTCAAAACAAGTAGGGTTGATATGGAGATAAATAATCGGGAACTAACCACGAGAATTCATCTCGGGCTCAGTCAATGTCGAGTTATTCAAAATGTCGCCTCTCTCATTTCCTGTTGTCTTGCAAGCTTTAGCCTCGCTTTCAGGAATTGACTGGAGCATGTTGTCCACAAAGGTTGTCTGTTCGACAACGGCGGTAGAGAGGGACTTGTCCGTGATAAAAGAGCTACTAGGAGCCACAGAGCCTCGATTTGCGAAAATTCGGTCGATCGACTGTTGCATCACGGAACTCCGACGGGCCTCTGTGGCTGTTCGAGGCCTCGTCATTCCATCGCCCATAGGAAGACGGTAACCGCCTATTGACTGACTCATCATTTGCGTCTGTAAAGAAAGGTAGGAAAATGACACAAATAGCCACAAGCAAGTAGAGAATGAGCCCCGATGCGAGCAAACTAAACCACGAAATGTTAACCCCCCAACATAGTTGGCTGTCACGCGATAGGGAGAATAGTGAAGTATTTATTACAATAAAGGTAGCATTCTAGTAGGCCAATGGTGTTAATCAACTTTTATGGTGAAGCGTTAAAGCCGTCGGTGGAAGACATCGACAATGCGACCCTCAATGAATGTTTGACTTTAAGCGGCAACAATTACCCTACGTCGTGATTCAGTCGGGAAGACTTACGACAGTGGCATGAAATATTTTTCAACACTGTGGTATCAAGCAAACTCGAAAATCCCATACACAAATTCCAGACACAGTAAAGTCAAGATACGAAAAAAGTTAGCAAAAGCCGGTCGACCATGAACCCAACCTTTGGTAAGGTTTATGAAACCCATTAGTAACCGAAATGCCGAGCATAGTCAATGTATTTAATGCAGACACAACTTACCCCCGCTCGAGAGACTAGGGAACTAGCCGCCATGCCCAGAAGGGATCCTGACCTCTTGACATCTGCACATTGGAGCAAACTCTGTGCTAGGGTTGGTCTAATTGATGAGCGAAATAGGCTCTGTTTAGTAGATGGAAGGTGAGTGTAGGGAAAAATTAGGGGCTTCACACTTGGTTCGCGTAAAATCTGATCGATCCACAATCCGACTTCTTGTGAGGGTTTTTGTAGCCGGTGGATAGCCAAACAGAGTTGGCAGGACTCAAAGGGCTGCGTAAAAGACGACTCAGGTAGAGACTGGAGCCAGGAGTTCAGGGATAAGTCAGGGGCCTCGATTGAATAGATGGGGCTATTTTCTGCCGAACGATCAATTGAAGGCCCTTTATTGTCATCCAGTACATCGTCTGGAAATACAGAAAGCAATTCAAGCAACTGAATCACGTGGCATTGGGGTGCACATATAGAGGACTAGGTCTAGGTTATGCGCACGTTCACCTCTGGTTAGAAATTTAAAGTCTAAGCTAGTACATTTAATAAAGATATCACAGGCTGACATCTTTTGATGCACCTGACAAAATGTATACCCGTGACGTCATTTAGCCGAATTGTTTAATTTAGTCCTGTTAGTTTTGTCTTTATGACTAGACAACCATTCGCAGTAGCGTACTTTCCTGGGTCGCGTGGAGAGTGGAGGTTCAGAAAACAATAGCTTTTGAGTTATCACAGAATTACTTCATTGTGCCCCCAATAAATAGCTTTTTGCATCAACATCTTGGGTCTGTTCGACATAATTGACACGAATTTGTCCAACGTTGTAGATCCGCTGTTGTCTTCTCAAGGTGCATTAAATGCATGTAATTAACGAACCAGGTGCCAATTCAAATAACTCCTCGACTTGATTAGTTATTAATTGCGGGACACTTAAACGAGCAGAAAGATAAACATCTCTGTTCACAACTTCTTTCTCTCCACGTGGGGAAAAAGAGAGGAATGCATGAATAAAACGAAGTATACGCAACAGTCTTTTACCATAAAATTGAAAACGTGGTTCATCATAGATCGAATAATGTTTGGAGAAACAAAGTTGGTGCAAGCCTTTTGTGCACGGAAGAAGGTTGCGGTTTTTAGAATAGTCTACAATAGCCCTAAAGGAAACCAGCAACACGTAAGCAGTTCTGTTTGATCAATGGATGAAGGAAATTGTTAATGAAGTAGGCTGAAGCGTTGACATAGATATTCTCTGCATAAACTGTAGGCCAAAGATATTTTGCATTTGATTGGTTTTCCACAATCAAACCGAGATAAAGTTAGAAGCTGATAACAAAACTTGTTTTCTTTCGCTACTTGATTAAAGAATGTATGCATGTCGTTTTCTTGAAAGTTAGTTAGTATATGTGGATATAAAGGGATAAGCTTAGTTAGGAAATTTACCAGTAAGAATCCCAGATATTTGCATCTGGGCATTATTTTCAGTGGCCATGGCAGCACAAAAGTCCTCACAAGCCTCATAGAGCATTCCTTTGATCAATAACCGCAACAAGCGATCCCCCTTGGATTGCCCAGTAGCATCGAAAACGTTATCACCGTTTAGTTCCTGTACTAACGGTGTGAGTATAGGGTATAGCTACAACAAAAAAGTAAACGAGTCAGTATCTTTACTGCCACTTAGGGCAAGTGGACACTTAATAACAGCTCGCGTAAGTTTAACAGTAAGAATAAGGAATGTGAAAGGACCAACCACATATGTTCGCGTTTGTGTAACGAGCCTAACATGGCTTTACAATAAAAAATTCTCACGAGACCACTGGCACACTTTTAATGACTGGATTTCGGTTTACGTACCAATCGCTGATCCGGATGACCTCAAAAGTTTCACCAAGTGCATTAAATTTAATGCGCTCTACGAATAACAGATGCAAATTCAACAACAAATGCACACTTGTTCGTGGTCATTTATTTTAATAAGATATACGACTTTTCGAATAAAATAGACTTTGTTCGGAATCTAACATGACGTTGAGATGGCTCTTCGAATGTAATCCAGCCTACAATTTTGTTACCTTATTACCGAATGATAACGAAGATACAAAAAAACTCTCTTCGTACAAAATTGATAAAATAGAATTGTAGTTGTAGAGAACTGGAAGTGGAGCATAATTCAACCCCATTTATTCAACTTAAACTTATGCTGTGGCTATTTTGGCCAAACACAATCACTTAACACTGTAGGCGTGTCCACTACGTTGAGGGAAACATAACCTCACTTCTTCTCAATTTGTGATGATTACTAACCAAAGCCAGATTTTGGTAACTATCTGGAAAATATCACTGCGAAGGAAACGAATTCGATGATAGATCAACCATAAAAATTACTTGGGCAAAGTTAGCCCCGTGAGTTCGCTCAAAACGCGCCCCAAATGGCGAAACAGAAAATGCAACGGATGGCTCACAGCAAGCATGGGACTTGAATTTTGCAGATCCGTTGTTTGGTGGAAAGAAATATTTTCCAAAAATTCGACACATTCATTTAAACTTTATTATCTCAGAGATAAAAAAATGAAAATGAGACTAGCCAAAATGCCAATCGGAGTGAGATCTAAGTCGATGATAAGACACGAGTTAAATCAATGGTGTACAATTGGGTTTGAGTCGACCTTGGTGGAGGAGCCGCAAACTAAAGCGCAGGCAAAATTCTTCGGCGTCCTAAACTATTGACAAGAAAACAAGGGAAACTAAAAGATTCTGTAGAAGACTACCGCTAGTGTAAACAGAAGACTTTGAATAAAGGTAAATAATGCAGCTCGCAGACATCAAAATATGGCGTGATTGAGGAAGAGATAAGGTGGGGAATAACAATATGTAAATTTAATTATCAAGAAACTGTTGTGAATCGGATTGATTCACATTCGCTAATCCGATCACTCCAACCTCCGACAAAGGGTCCCATTTTCGCAGCATGTCGCCGCAGAGTCCTAGAATCCGATCTTTCTGGGACAACTGTTGCAAAAACCCCTATCATTTACGAAAATGGACGAGGAAAATGAAATACAACCAAACAAGCCAAGTCCACATCGTAAAACCTGATGGAGCTGATCGCTCCAGCTTTTGGAGGAATGTATCTTCGCTTGAGAGACTTTAGACCAGGAAAATGCAAAAAGGACTCAAACAAGGCTCATCAATTCATTACAGATATCGTAGTGCAAAATAGTACTTTGAAAAGCATTTGCTTTATGAATCAAGACGCGGGAATCACATCTCAAAAGCTTCTTAGTAAGATGCGAGGGGAACTTAAAGCTTTATCCAGTGAACCATAATAGAAAATCATTTGTGCCTATATTCTAAAAGAAATTGAGGAATCGACCTCGAAAGACTATATAACAAAAAGTCGTCTGTGATATGTTGAATTATCCAACACGAAAAATCTGTACTAACAAAAATGTAATTTCAAGAAGTCAACATAATAACTTCATAAAAAAGTCGAGGTAGATCAGAGCACAAAACAGACCCTCTTGAAGCACTGGAGGCGACCGAGACTGGGATTCCAATTACGGTAGTCGGGATGCCGATCAAGTTGGGGAAGAGTCAAAAGGAGGGCCAGTGAATTATATTCAGCTTGAGTTGGACACTCAGGCTCAAGTTGATTTAAGCAAGTCAGGACCTGCGATCAAAAACAAACTCTATAGATCAAAGATGGAGAGCTTTACCAGATGGTTGTTCCAAGACTTCGTTTGGTAAGCATATTAATGGTAATTATTTTGCAAATCGAATTTAACAGGGTTATTCTGTATTAAAATAGCCCTGATTTGGCGTAAAAGAAACAAACAGTGGGCGGGATAAAGTACTATGAGTTCAGCAGCCTTGTGCTAAACACCTGATTAATGAATTCAAAAGTGAGTAGGAAATAACAGATACAGCCATCCCCTGCATTGTTCTACGTAAATTATGGATTAAATCTGATTAAAACTAATGGTTTTATTGTGTTTTCAAGAACCAAATCAAAATGGGAGAAGTTTGACATAAGAATGTGCATAAAATAAGGAGCTTGGCTTTAGAAGTATTTGAGTGGTTAATGTAAAAACCGGCCGCAATAAAATTAACCAAAGCCAAGCAACGGTTATGCATGGTGGTCCAGCAACAAGACTTTAAAAAGGCAAATAACAATGAACTAAATGCTTTAAGCTTAATGTAATCTCAAATAAGGGTAAGTAAACTATGAACAAAAGCAAAAAATGAACGAGATAAGGCCTACAGGTTCGATGGAAAGGTCGTTCTCTGGCTGACAGTCACCGTTATGGCAGGATTCAGAGGCTGCTTCCAGTTGTCCTTCTCTCAAACAAAGCAATTCCAAGAACTTGTGTTTTAGAATTAAGAAGCGGGCAGGCCTTAGGTCAAGCTGAAATGGAGGCTCTCCTAAAGGTTTCAAATATTCCAAGGCATCATCCCACTATAAATGAGAAAACAGGTGATCCACAAGCAAATATGGCGCAGTAATACACGGGAACGCTTACAATAGTACCTGAAAGTGTTTACAAAAAATTCTGAGGGGCACAAGTTGAGAAGTTATAGGCATAACCAAGTACTGTTGAGGCACATTACGTACAGGGACTTCATTGATCCACACTTACTCTTAAGCAATTATGGTTTCCACGACAAAGATATGAATCAGACAATACGGACACTGCGGTACGGTATTTGAAGGCACGTTTGACCAAAAGAATTGTACGCTGTTTCCACAAAAAATCAGGCGAGAACACGCAATTTCTGAACTTAATATATCGTAATTTATGAATAAACGCACCACTTTCATAGTGACATGATGGCCAGAAATCAATACGACATTTTTACGACATAACCACGCAACTCTATATTCAACGGTGGACATAATGCCTTAAATTACGTCTACTACCCAAAAGCAAACGAAAGTCCCAGCAATATTAAGGACAGCAAAGAATGTGATAAACAAAGAAGCATTACGTGTCCTTGAAGTATAAGTTGGCGCAAGAACAAAACATCCTCGTTAAATATGCCATTAACGACACCAGATTCTCGCTCCAATGCAATTTGGGAATACGCAAAATCCCGTTTTTCCAGAAATTCCAAAATTAGTTTGAGTACATCAGACTCGTGAATTGTAAGTCTGACTGATCGAGTGCTGCGCTCCATTATGCGTAGTTAATGCACAGCAAAATCTAGACTAAAGGTGAATATTCACAAGCACCATTATGGTTAAAAGGACATTTACAATAGAGAAGATAAACTATGCACGGAATTAGTTCATTAAAACCATAAGAAGTGTTAAAAGTAAATTATATTAGTTGTCTATGACTTAGCCCAACTTAGTAAAAAATTTGATAAACATTATTATTTAAATAACAGTCTAGTCCTAGTAACTCCAAAATGCAAGCGTCTTATGACATTAATCTAAAATGAAATTTAAAAACAGTTAACAGGTATTTGATATACTCACAACCAAAGTTTTATTTTCTGACGCGACTGCACTAGAGTTATTTTAAAGAAGCCATAATTCAATTTACATCTTATTTTTTACTTGCATCTAAATTACATTTACCGGTATTTATATAAACCTATCTTACAGAAATGATTTGATATAGTAAACGGCCTAGTTATAATGAACTATATGCATACTTTTATACCAAATAGGTAGAAGACAACACAAAATCGAGATGGATGATATGTTTTCTCTTAAGAGCTTACACAAACTTTACTTTTAAAATCAAAAACATGCTTCTTTGAACGCATCAATTTCTCATAATATCGATTAATGCATATTTTTTGCGTAATCGTATATATACTCTGCTATTTGGACCTAATTAAGTCATGCTGATTGACGTCGAGCTTGATCTTTTCCTGTTTACTGGAATTGTCCATGCATGCAATTGGCGTAGAATTAGATGCGAAAGAAAATAATCGACTGACCAACTGTACAGCGTTCGATGCCTTAATCGACTTTAAAGGGGCTGTCTAAAGCTAAGAAACTCAAAATTATTTATTTCCACTCAGTTTCGTGCCACGAAATTCTAAATCAGGTAATTGCAATCCAAATGAATTCTATATTTCATCATTCTTTTATTGTTTAATTACGATTTCTACCTCTTTTGCTAAAAAGTGTACTGTAATGCACCTTGTAATTTAGTTTTAATCCTGTTTCTATAACTACTCTGTTGTTTAGCTAATTCAAATTCCCTCGAATATTAGTTCTCTTTACTTCCGCACAGTTTAAGTATTCTTACTAAACATTGAATACAAATCTAGAAACAATTTAGTCACAAAGCCCCTTTGTATTACACTATAATGATCCAGGACAAATATCTGCAGCAACAAATAGGGAAATTGTATATCGAATCAAAATCAGGACAAGCCATTGGAGAACAGTAGGAGTTTGATTACTTTCCAAAACTTAGACCCATTACGCCAATAACCCACTCTGACAGCGCTGATCATTTGAATCCCCGAAGAATCGTTAAAAGCACTTACCAATTTGAACCTTATATTAAATTCCCAAAAAATGAGATTGCAAAGATAACTGAAGAAACCGTGGATGAAGTACTGACTGAAAAGCAATATCACCCCGACTTCTGTCGAAATGCCTCAAAATTGATATCAGAAGTACACCCACGTAGTGATAATTAACACCACAACATCTAAATGCCAGCGCTAACTTTATGTCGTATTTTAGAGGCTGAAAATTCGCGTTAAGTCGTTACATTTGGAGCGATATAAGGTAATTACACAGGCCACCCTCGGAAACGCAAGCGACGGAAACCTGGAACTATCAAGCCGTTGCTTGTGGGACTCCACATGTGACTCTTGTGTTTCTTACGTGTTTTGTAACGGTAGCATTTCTGCAGTTGTCATGGTGTTTGGGATTTACCAGCTCTAAGTCGATTTTCAGGAAACCAACAACTGACTGATAAAGGAAAGAAAGATGTTTATGAAAATCTGATTTTTTTAATTCAAAATAAATGTTTGAGATGACCTATTCTTTACACGGAAAGTCTCTTGGGCATAAAAAACTAGAGCCACATACAAAACTCAAAGTAATATTTACACAACGATCATCGAAGTTAATAATTGCAGCTAGTGATTTTGGTCGTCCGCTGAGCTGGGACTAGATTCATGGCCGTATTGCATTATAATGGCTTCCATTTCTCGGCGGAACTCCTCAGACACTTGGCCAGTATAATCTAGGCACTTCAAGACTTGTGACGAAGAAGTCCGACGCTCGCTGCCCTCACGTAGCACACAAGCCAGCATCTTCGCCATTGTATTACGTTCCGTCGACAACCTTCGATTCGTCTAAAAGGTTAAAAATTTAGGTTTATAACAACCCCGATTGTTTAGGCTTTTTACTTCAAGCCCGGCTAAACTCTTACTCATGCAAGACCCATTAACCTACCTGTTCCAGGTACTCGATATCCCACCGCTGTCTTTCCAACTGAGACTGAAAGAATATGAGTGATTGTTTCATATCCTGTAAGAACGCATACGTACAGTTAAAAAACAGTATTGCAAATCAAAACGAGGGAATCAATTTACCTCATTTATAGTAGAATCGACAGGTACTTTCTTAGGCTTAACAGATACTACCGAAACTTCTTTTGAGCCAAGCAGCGCACGTCCACTGGTAGCCAGTGCATTGTCTTGCTTTAATTTTTCAAAGAAATCAACTCGGCTTCTTACACTCTTTTCACCATCACCGAGAACAATTGGTGAGGCAGCTGCATCTTCTGACACTTCATTGATACACGTTGACTCAATTATGTCATTGGTAAGCGTTGAAACATCCACCATTTTTACTTCTTTGTCCAACGTATGCCCTGGTTCAGTTAGGTGCTCAGTCATTTTTTCGAGACGATTTTTCATATTTACACACACTTCGACGTTATTTCCCATCTTTTTGTTATCCGAGAGCCCTCTTTTGTAACGTGTTAACACTGGCGAAGGTTCATCCATTCGAGTAAGGAACCCATCAGCTCCCGCCTGGAGAACTTGGATATCCTCGTCAGTAGCAACATTGGCATCAGACGTTGTCTTGGACTCGAGAACATCAACCCTCATCCGAAGATTATGAAGTCTCTCGTAAAGTCGGTTGAAGAGGTTAACAGACATATACGTTACGTCGAGTTCAGTATCATTGGTAAGAACAGAAGAATCGACAAGCTTTTTACCCTTGAACACAGCGAATCCTTTCGTCGTATTGTGAGTTTCTTCAGTCGATTGCTTAGATGATTTCTCAAAAGGAATGCGGCAATCATGGTCATCAGAAGACGTGCCCACTTCGTGTTTGACTTTACAAGTATAGGTCGCCAGCGTGGACTCGAGTAAAAGAATTTTCTGTTTCATTTCCAGGAAGATCTGTTTGGGTAATACCTCAACTTCTTCAATCGTGTTTATTCCGGCTTCAGAGAACATAGCTTCCGAACTATGGTTGATTACCTCCCTCATCAATGACAGCTCCTGAATCGGCAAGACGCTTAAGTCGGAAGCATTTTCACTCACTCCAATTGAGACATCTTTTTTCTTCACATCAAGAAGCACGTTAAGTGGTTTTCCTACTACATGTAGCTCAAGGTCAGTATACTCTAGACCTCTTTGGGAGATTAATCCACATCCCAAATCAACATCACACGTGTTACTTGAGGCATCAATCTTTCTTACAGGTTCCCATGAACATATCCCGCACTTTCGATAAGAAAGTGCGAGGCTCTGAGGGTCTGTTTGATTATTAGAAATAATGCCAGTGTGACACCCAAAGATTTGGGCGTTATTGGTATTTACTTCGTTCACGCCTTCAGTTTGAACAGCCGATTCAATTTTTTGAGTTAGCACAGTAGCCTCGTTTTTAGTCCATTCATGGATTGGGTAGTGGTCTGCGCCGTCAGGCGCCAGACGATCATCACCAGGCGAATCCGAGGTCCCAGAGTTTGTAGAACAAGAGTCGCTTTTGAGGCGCTTGGACGGAATGACAGGCGTATTGCTAAAATAAGTTGAAGGAACGGTACCCAAGTAAATTACAACTGACAAGTCGACATCATAACAAAATTTACATACCCATTGTCATCTGAGTCGTCAAGAAAATTAACCAACCGCTTTGGTGTTCCAAAAGGCGTAACTTGTGAAATGGCGACTTGAAGTCGTTCACAGTCCACTGTGCGTTTCGTTAATTCACTACAAGAGAACGCAAAATTATTACGCAAAAAGTAGCAGAGCATTCGAAAACCCGGATCGATTTCCATCAACTTGGCTCTGTAACGAAATTTTTAGAAAACAAGGCTGCAGAAGATAACCTGATTCGAGATGTGCTGTGATAATAAAGTAATAATTACGTTGTAAGGAAGTTGACCTCTTCTTCCCTGGCTAAGAGCAATTTCTTCAGTGTCTGTACCTGCGTGGCCAACGGGCTGTGGGGTGCTTCAGCAGCATTGAGACATTGTCGCAGCCTTTCTATTTCTGACATTAATTCTAAAAGATAACGAGAATAAAAACTAAGTTAATGAAGCGGGAATGCTCAAATTAAATTAAAAAAACAACCTGATTCGCTACACGACTAGGGCTGTAACGTGTTAAAATTTAAGTTTTGGAATTTCGATAATATACAGTTAAATGAGGCAAAATTATTACAGAATACAAAAAACGAATTTGCGAATCAATAAGATGAAATATATTTTGTTTATGTGCAGCATGTCGTCTCTACTAAAACGTGTTTTTTTTTGTTCAGCTGTCACTTAAAAAAAAGTTTTTGCAAGAATACCTTTGAGTGGAAGATATAATTGACCTGATTGGACTCATGCAACCTGATTAAGCCAAAAGACAACCCTCACGTCACGATTAAAAATTTAAAGTTGGACACAGTTGAGCATTCGGTCACATTATCCGATGCTGGATTTGAGGAAATTCGGGTCCAAATAGAAAGAATGCCAAAAATACTAGTATTCGTTTCTTTGAGTAGAGCAAGGCTTTCATTAACATACCACGAATGATACGACCTTCTGGATCCTCGTTAACAACGGCGTTGTTTACAATGCACTGAGCGCGCTTGACATACTGCAGGGTCGCCAGTGTATCGTCGATATGCAGCGAGGAGGGAGAAACCGTAGCCAACATAGCGGTAACAGAGTTTCCGCCAAGACTTTCCTTTAGAATCCTGACAGCGGGAAAAAACATTTTCAAATCTAACACTTAAAAACCAAAGGGTCTATATGTGGTATCTATTTCCACTTAACGAGACTAGGCTCTGTCCACGTACCATGTAAGTGTGGAGTCGCGGTAAGAGATAAAATTGCTTTGCTTGCGTCTGCTGTCTACTACGGGGGTGCGAAATTCGGGTGTACCGCAGGGGGAAAATGGGGGTCGCTTTCGTTTAGGTCGATCAGTTGATCGACAATTCATTGTCGTCCGTAAATCGCCACTTAGCTGAGATATCACTTTGCTCAAAGTGAACAAAGACTTGTTAATTTGACAACTCTCCTACGGAAAAAAGGAAAACAAGGCGTGAATCGAAACCAGCTTATGCAAAAAACTGATCGTATTTTTTGATCGAAAACCTAGTCCTGGTTTAGCTGTAGAACATTACTTACTGTATAACGCTGCGGCCTCGAAACCGCAAGGGCCCCAACAGATCACAACTGTGCCGACCAATAAGACATTGAGTAAGCCCTTCGGATTTCAAAAGTCAACATTTATTTTTTATTGCTTAATCACTAATTTACCTTAAACTGGCAGAAAAAGGGACTTGTTTAGGACCAGTTTGCAAGATTTCCCGAAAACAACAGTACTAGAGATTATAAAGGATCAATGAAAACTCCAAGAATTAATAAGGCAGATTTTGCAGTAGAATTGAACAGGTTTCATAAAGATGTACACGATGCGTTTTATCAATAAGCTGAAGACGTTAGGCTACATAACTGAAGGTCTAGCAGGTTTTTTGTTTGAACTACAAGGTATACCCGTTGTTGATCGGTGAACCGATTTTTCAGCTTATCTGTCGGTTCTTCATGCATTTCCTTAATTTGTAATTTTAGTTGGCTTTTGACATCTATGTATGACTGGCGATCCAGGCAAAATACGGGAATGTAATAAGTAAATAAAGTACCAAGGAACGAAATGTATGTTAATTATGGCAAACAAAATTTGTCTTTATAAAATGAACGCACAGACAACACACAAAAACGTACGACTAATCGTTCGTTGGTGTTGTTCGTGAGTGACTGGCGTTCACTACCAGCTAAGTCAACCAGATTGAGTCTGCTGGTGTAAACATTCTCGATGACCTCGGTTTTCGTGAACCTTGCCTACAAAGAGAAAAAAATGCACTGAGAATATACCGCCAACACGAAAACCAAGGGTGACAAGCTAGTCAAAATAAGAGTATTATTACACTGTAGCTACGTCTCCTAATAGATTTTAAGCCTGGCTTGGCTACGGAGAAAGGTACCGAAAAGCAAACTGGCTACTTGACTTAAGGAGCAGTTAGTGCGGGTGAAAAAGAGGCGAGGCGACTTATTACGTAAAACATGGTAGAAATTATGATTAAAGCAACATTTAGAAGAATAATAACATGCCATCCAAAAAACCATGAGCAAACACGGAAATTTAGACATCTTAATTCATAACCTAAAAAAATGTTGGATCAGTCTACAGAATCGCAGCCAAATAACACAAAACAGATAACAAAACGAGTAACTCCGTGCTTAGAACAATTTAGCACCTAGTAATCCAAGTTTTTTGCATAGAAAGCGAAAGGATCTACAAGTTTAGTTTTGCTTATAAAATCGTAAACTTGCTACCTCAAAATGAATCCGTTTGTTAAATTATCGGACTAACGGCTTGAAAACCAATCTTACCAATTCTCTTCTTGTGATAATAAATGCAAGTATTGTATGAGAACGAGAGCTGAAGGCGTTCATCTGGGTTGCAGCCACACTGCGACGGGCGTCACCTTGTCGAAGCCAAGCAAAGACCTCCTCGGGTGTGTGCACAGCCGGCTGGAGCAGACCCTCAACGAAAGGACCCGTCACAGGGTGCTCACGAACGGTCAGCTGCGCAGAGGATAGTAGGAAATATGCACTTGTATACAGACAATTAAACGAACGGAAAAGATGGAACATAATCCCTTGAAAAAGCAAACATACAAGATCCCAAGAAACCTAATAAACAGAGGTATAACAGTTAAGTCAATAAATTGAATAGAATAATTACAAAGTAGACCCAGACAAAGAATCCAAAGGGCTTCAAAGGCAAAGAACGCATTTTCAGTGCAAAGGTAAAAATCGAGAAAATCTTAATTAATAATTCCATGGACTTTCAAAATGAAGCAGCCAATAGGCAAAACACGACAATAACCTAATAATTAAAATTCCAGCTCAATACAGACAGAACTAGAGAACAACGGTGAGATAAATAACTTATTATCAAACTACACTCAGACACAACATACCTGTGGTGCTGGCTTTTTGTCCTGTAAAAGGTCATTTATTTTCTCCTTATAAATCTCAAAATAGTTCAAATGCACTGAAATCAAGCTGTTAGACGCCTAAAAAAGATATTTGTTGAATAGTAACACAGCATACTTTTTTCCCAGCGATAAGGCTAAACAAATCTTCAGTGATTCGCGGGACAATACCAGGAGCATCAGGAGTACCGTACATACTTGTACAAATAAGTCAAATCAAATTAAAATTTACCTATAGGTTTTTCCTGAGGACGTTACACCGTATGTAAACAAGCATGCATTGTACCCAGCAAGAGCTTTGTTTAATAAGGGTAAGCCCAGCGAATTGTAGACTTCATGCTGGTTCCCTTTGGCAAAATTGCAGGCATCTCCTTCAAAAGGACAGAAAGCAAAGTCGACAGGAAATACGACAGGTGGCAAGCCCTTTTTCGTGCAAATTATTTGATTTTCTCCTCGGCAATTGACAGCGCAGTAGCTATCTTTCAAGGCAATTTCTCTAAAAATTTGTGTCACAAACGAGAACAAACCTTGCGGAGAAAGGCCGCACACGAACGGCAATAGTGATTTTTCCAGATTCACCTGTGGGTAACATAGGGGATCATAGATCACGCTTCTGCCATCATTAAAATAAACAGGTATGTCATATGGACGGCCTACTACCATAGGATTTTGCGGGATTTCCTATTTTAAGCAAATAGTCCGGTGAGTCATTACTATATTCACAAAACAATACCCCGAAACTACACCCTCCGATAAAATCACACGAATAAAAGAGTGTAAAACACAACAATACCTAAAAAATCTCATCTCGACAGAAATAACATACAACTGATAAAAAAGGCAACTCACGCATCACCACAGAGGACACCTGGGAAATTTGACCTTTGAAGTACCGCCTACCAGTGCTCCATTAAGTCGGTGCATTTAAATTCATGAGCAATAAATCGTAGAACTGATTATTAATGCGCATGCCCATTAAAAAAAACTAGAATCTGTACAAATTTAAAAATGTAAACTAAATATCGCATTTGAGGTCAAGAAGTACTTCTAATGTGCGTCACCACTTAAAATGTTTTGAATACATTACTTTTTTCATGAAATTACCCCAATTTTGAGTCTAAAATTCACAGGTCTTTCAATTATAGCCTTTACTTAGTATATTATTGTGCATTTAGCAGTCGAATCGAGGTTTATTACGTGAAAAGAATTTGCTATCGTTCCTAATTTAACGATATTAAAGTTTAGCCACATGTAATGGATTGTAGAAATTGTGGTTTGCAAATTCCTTTATACGTGTTACAGACAGAATGAAATAGCAAACCTCTTTTGACCATATTTGTCGTATTCATGATAATTTATGATTGGCACATCCATTGTCACCACATGGCATTGTTTCATGGGTATCAAGATCTGTAAACCGCCTTGGTTCTGAGTAATTGATAACAGACACTAGATTGCTTTAATTCCTTTTGCTTTAACTTGTAAGAACCTTACAAATAACTTGATTAGAAATGATTCCAATATATTATTAGAAATGCTGCCGTTGACTAGAGTGAAAGGTATTTTATTGCTAATAACTTTACCGATGACTGTATTTCAAAGTATGGAGCGAATTACATCTTTTACATGGCATATCGATTATGAAAACAACTTTAGAATGGGAAATTTTAGTTGTTCTCATCGTAGTCCAAGTTATTGAGGACCTCAAAATTAAAAAATTTCACTCGATTCGAATACACAATTTCGTCAATAATTTATTTTATCGTTTAGAAAATTGCAATCCCAAAAATAGTACTAAGGGATTTGTCATCGATTTTTTTTCGAGTTGAGCCTCCAGTGTCCCATTGTGATAAGAACCGGAAGCAAGAAGGCATTTAAATTGATTATTTTAGTGTTAATACTGTCATAGATCTGTTACAATGGTAGTTCTGGGATATATTTATTTCTTCTTTGTGCGGTATATTAATTTAGAATGAATGTACCAACCGTTTGACTACTGGCTTTGTATATTTAATTGTAGTACCATAGGGTGTTAAGAGTAAACCAGAATTTATATTCGAATAAACTTTCCTGGAAAAATGCAGATCTTAGTGATGTGCTTACATTATTACGCTTTTCTGTCTTTGTGATATTTCCGTGGTTGTGCTTTAACCCATTTTGTGCTGCATGACGTATCTGATTGCTAATGTAAACAATAAATCTAAAATGCCTTCAAAACAATATATTTGAATCGGGTGTAAGGGATCTAATAATTGTGTTAGGAATTTGGTCCTATACCTTGATGTTTAAATCATTGTCTCTTTTTGTGTAGCGAAATCTGCAAATAGTTGGAACATAAATATTTGACTGTTTTGATGTCCACTGTCACTTTATTTGCCATCAAAGTATTAGTAGGGCTGTTTATGTCTTGTTCTTAAGTGAATTAGTCGGCCGTAAGACACACCTGCTCACACGATTTTCTGTTTGAGGGTAGGTGCCAATCTGATAGCAGTGTGTATTTATTTTTAAAAACCTTTTACCACATTGTGGAACTTCACACAAACTAACCACATCGTATAAATGCACGTGCTAACCTAAAAAATAGATCTGTATAAATTATATCTACCATTATCATGCAAAACCGTGTGAATATCTCGGTTTTCCGAGTAGACGTATTCATAAATGTTTAAATTACCAAAACGACGCTCATTGGTAACAGTAACTGTTTCATTTTCAAATACCCAAGCTTTTAGACTTGCTTTGGTCAATTTAAATGTCAGCTTAACTATTATTGACCTTGTTAAAAATGGCTGTAAGCCGTGGTCACTTCTATCATGAACTCAACTTCCAACCTCCGTCAGATTATTTGCACTGATAAACATCAGAGTTTAGGATCTTGTAATATGATTCTATTTGACGAGTCTTTGTATACCGGCATTCGTAGTAGAGTTACCGGAACGCAGTAACTTTGACCTTCGAGTTCAGCCTAACAACTCACGGGGATATTTTAATCACCTTTGCATGCGTTTTAGTTTTAAACCAAAGCCACATGACAAAATTTGTTGGGCATTGAACTTACATACGACACCCATGCGTTTAAACTAAAATAGTCCTGACTGCTGTCAGGAATTTTTTAAACATCAGCCGCAGATGGTTAACCGATTGAATTTTCCGCTTTTGCAGTAAAAGCAAACACCTTCAATAGAATACAACGCCAGACAACCCAGGACTCTGTTTGAGTTAATGACCTGTACAGAGACATTGGATTTTCATTTTTAGAGGACCATCACCGGACTTGTGTGGGAAAAACCATGGCCGAACGGATTCGCTGAATGTTGATCGGGTTTTGTGACTTACTCTTACTTTTCATTGGTCAAAGTTCATTATTTCTCTATGAAAACGCTCACACAGGGATAAGTGTATGTCTTTACTATATAGTGTCCACTTTTCGTCATATTCCTTGCACACAATTTCTCTCATGGTCAAAGAATAATAAACTTTCAAAGTTGTTTGTTGGTTGCTTCAATTTAAACACATTCCAAGGATGTTAAAATTGTATAAATGCAGACCACATTTTGGCAAACACAAAAAATATAAATTAGTGCTGAGAATTGCGCAAAAATTTCTGCTTTCCATTATAAAACGATGATAGTTTATTGATCTAAGAATTTTACGAATTACATGGTTTGCAAAGAAATGACCAGCTAGGAGCACTTTTCAGGCACGTGTCAATCATTAGCTCGCATCACATAGTTCAAGCTTCAGATGCTGAAGTCCTATAAAGCGGAGATTCATGCATCAGTCAGTGGGGTCACGAAGCATTTGTGCAATGTGATGTCAAGAATTGATTTGCTCACTGCTAGCATGTTGGACCTACAAAGTGTGTCCAACTATACCTCATTGTGTTCAGTAAGTCGGTTGGAATCGTTGCCTGTAACAGTGTGCGCACGACACTCACCAGGTTTCGGGAAAGGTGACTCGTAGTCGCCTTGACATCACACACACACACGCGCACACCAGTTGACACACTCGAGCCACTGTGCTTGGTCGACCTTGTCCGCATGTGCATTTCCCGTTA